GTATGTAACGACTTTGATGTCGTAACTTAAATAAAATGGGCCTGGCTCCTAATGGCTGCTCAATCTGCTGTCTAGGGGCATTTAATTACACTGATAAAGACAGCAACTCTAGGGCCAGTATGTATTCATACAAATTAAGAAGCACGAGTGCAAATAATTAATGTTGTATAAGGACACAAAAACTCACTTATACTAAAATATATATAATATAATAAAAAGTAACTTACATACAACTTACAATCTACTCCCAAAAAAATACCACACTCCAGTTCACAATGCTTTTGTCTGTCATGTTAGAGATAACAGTCATCCTACTGACTGGATCTTTGTAGAACTGTCTACCCAACTTCTAGCCATCACAGTCGCCGTCTTTTTGAAGCATCCCTTGTACACAACTTCTGTTGTATAAATCTTAGTCCTGCTTTGTCTCCGTAGATGCGTTCCTTTCTCATTACATTGTCAAATGTTCCAAACTTCAGAAGACTCGTGGCTTGGCCTGATCCCCATCTCTTCTCCTTTCCTATTTTTTTCCTTTTTCTTTCTTTGTTTTTCTTTCTTCTGCCTAAGTGCGTTCTGCCCTTCAGTTCCTCCCCCCCCCCTGTCCCCTGTATTTTTGGTCCTATCCTTTATGGGCTTTCCTACAGTGCTCCTTTTTCTTCTCATTAGACTGATCCCACTTATACTACTACAACTACCACTCCTTAAGTACTACTAATACTTTTGCCTCCACCCTATCTCTTGTGCACTAAAACTACTCTTCGCGCTTTCTACTAGTACTGCTACTTCCACTTTCCACCTTACCTCTACCATTGCTTATTTTCTCGTCCTCTTTTAGCCCTGTCCCTGTCCCCCTATTTATACTGGCTCCCTCACTGTGTTAGTGTGACTTTGTAAGTTGTCCAAGTGAGACCGAAACATTGCGGGTTTTATTTGTTTATTTGGCAGTTTGTTTCCAAATCTTATCAAACTGATTTTTTTAGAAATTTCAAAATAAAATACTTTTTTTACAGGATTGTAGATAATCTTAAGGATAATGTGCAAAATAAGCTGGGGAAAAAAATCCACGATTTTATAGTGTTTTTAAGATTAACAAGGAGAGATTGTCCAATTTCCCGGGACATTTCTTAGCAAATTTTTCATTTGCTTTCTCACAAATTTTCGTTTATTACTCGAGAATGCCTTATTCGATCGCCTTCAAATTTTCAAATCTTTTGTAATGTGTCTTGGACAACATTCATAGGAGTGTTCGTATGCGTGGGTGCACTACGCACAATGCTACATAAGTCATTACTAACCTTTGTTTCTGTGTAATAGGTGGAGATAGGTTCGTCTGTTCGACTTCACAATTGCAGCACTCTTGCATTCTGCTTGGAAGTTTGGTATATTGAATGGAGTAAGTAAATGCAATTTTGCCACATTTAATCTTGAAATATAAAGCAGTATTTTATTTTACTGCAATATTTTTGCGTCAATGCTGGTGAGAAGCTCTTGATCCAAGGAAATGCATGCACTTATATTCTATTGACTTCGATTGATTTTGAATTTCAAACTCGGTATTTGACCCCTACAGGTTTTGCGCTTCTTTAGCCATTGAAATTGAAAGAAATTCAAAATATTTCTTTTCATATGCCAAAAACAAGGCAAATACCACATCTAGTATCGGGCCCTTACTCAGACAGGATGGGACTTACACAGACGACAACAAGGAAATGAGTGAAATATTGAAATCCCAGTACGACTCTGTGTTTAGTGAACCACTAATCGGTCTGAGGATCGACGACCCAAATGATTTCTTCATGAATGAGCCTCAAAACTCCATAAATGTATGCCAGATTTCCGACATTACCCTAACTCCGATAGATTTCGAAAAAGCCATTGACAACATGCCTATGCACTCAGCCCCGGGCCCAGACTCGTGGAACTCTGTTTTCATTAAGAACTGCAAGAAACCCCTCTCGCGTGCCCTAAGTACACTATGGAGGAGGAGCTTGGACATGGGTGAGATTCCACAGTCACTTAAAACAACGGATATAGCCCCGCTCCATAAAGGTGGCAGCAAAGCATTAGCTAAGAACTATAGACCAATAGCTCTGACGTCCCACATCATAAAAATCTTTGAAAGAGTGCTAAGAAGCAGGATTGCAAATCACCTGGATTCCCAAAATCTGCACAATCCAGGGCAACATGGGTTCAGGGCAGGTCGCTCCTGCCTCTCACAACTACTGGATCACTATGACATGGCCTTGGATGCACTGGAAGAAAATCAGAATGCAGATGTAATATACACAGACTTTGCAAAAGCATTTGACAAATGCGATCATGGTGTAATAGCCCATAAAATACGTGATAAAGAAATAACTGGGAAAGTGGGGAGATGGATCTTCAACTTCCTAACAAATCGAACACAAAGAGTAGTGGTCAACAGAGTTAAATCGGAGGCTGCCATAGTGAAGAGCTCTGTTCCACAAGGCACAGTACTCGCCCCCATCTTATTCCTTATCCTCATATCAGACATAAACAGAGATATACACCACAGCACCGTATCATCCTTTGCGGATGATACTAGGATCTGCATGAGGCTGTCATCTGCTGAGGACGCGGTTAACCTCCAAGAAGATATAAACAAAGTTTTCCAGTGGGCGACGGTAAACAATATGATGTTCAATGAGGACAAATTCCAACTACTCCGTTATGGAAAACTGGAGGAGATAATAACTAGAACAGAGTATACTACTGACTCCGGCCATACAATAGAGCGGAAAAATAATGTAAGGGACCTGGGAGTAGTAATGTCTGAGGATCTCACTTTCAAGGATCACAACAGTGCCACGATCGCACGTGCAAAGAAAATGATAGGATGGATAATGAGAACTTTCAAAACGAGAGATGCCAAGCCCATGATGATCCTTTTCAAATCACTTGTTCTCTCTAGGCTGGAATACTGCTGTACATTAACATCTCCATACAAAGCAGGTGAAATCGCAGATCTAGAGAGTGTACAGAGATCCTTTACTGCACGTATAAGTTCTGTCAAGCACCTTAACTACTGGGAACGCTTGAAAGCACTTGACTTGTACTCGTTGGAACGCAGGAGGGAGAGATATATCATAATCTACACTTGGAAAATCTTGGAAGGAATGGTCCCAAATCTGCACACAGAAATCACTCCCTACGAAAGTAAAAGACTGGGCAGGCGATGCAAAATGCCGCCAATAAAAAGTAGGGGCGCCATTGGTACACTAAGAGAAAACACCATAAGTGTCCGGGGCCCAAAACTGTTCAACAGCCTCCCATCAAGCATTAGGGGAATTGCCAATAAACCCCTGGCTGCCTTCAAGAGAGAGCTGGACAGATACCTAAAGTCAGTGCCGGATCAGCCGGGCTGTGGCTCGTACGTCGGACTGCGTGCGGCCAGCAGTAACAGCCTAGTTGATCAGGCCCTGATCCATCGGGAGGCCTGGTCATGGACCGGGCCGCGGGGGCGTTGATCCCCGGAATAACCTCCAGGTAACCTCCAGGGCCCGTGGCCTGGTGGCAAAAGCTCTCCCTTAACACAGCGAGGGGTCTAGGTTCGGTTCCCGGAGAGGGTAGAAACATTGGGCGTGTTTCCTTACACCGATTGTCTATGTTCCCCATCAGTAAAATGGGTACCTGGGTGTTAGTGGACTGGTGTGGGTCGCATCCTGGGACAAAACTGACCTGATTTGCCCGAAATCCTCTGCAAAACAAGCGGCTTTCTATATAGGAGTATGTCATTGATGTCAGCTAGACCTGTATACCTTGTACATGTACTTGTAGAAATAAAGATATTATTATTAATGGCTGACGCATCGTTTGAAATGGCTTAAGAACATACTTTTTCTTTTAAACTTTTAGCGCTGATGTGTTTCCCTCAAAGGAAACAATATTTTGTTAGGCTGTGTAAGTTATCATGTGCCAGTTTTGTTAATCAAATTGGTTTCTGTGAAATAATTAGAGAATGTCTCTTCTGATCAGAAATAAATCACAGTGTTTGACTTTATTTGGTAATCATAGGTTAAATTAACTTATTGCATAATATATATGCTTATAACATCTAAGTACCCTTAAGACCATTGCTAAAAAATTGTATGTTATTTGCACTAGATTTACATAAACCTTATTTAACTTACCTACTTACATACAGTACTTACTTTCTTAAGAGGTGGTGAGTCTTACTTGGATTTTGTTCTACGAAGGTCCTAATTTTTTTTTGTAAACTGAAAAAATTGAAATACTGCTTTTCATGCAACAATTTCTGAATTTCACATCTGATTAGATCTTGGCATGCATCCCCTCTTCGTTTCGTGAATTTTCACCTCGACAGTCCTCTTCCTAGCACAGTGTGTTGCCCTGTGATTATTATTATTTTTGTTAGTGGTTATACAAATATTTCTGTTAGTACTAACAGAAATATTTGTCTAATCTATTTTTAGATTATTATTATGTTAAGATAATACTAATAATACTATAATAATAATAATAATAATAATAATAATAATAATAATAATAATAATAATAATAATAATAATAATATTAATAATATAATAATAATAATAATAATAATAATAATAATAATGATAATGTTTACAAATGGAAATATTTCGTCCAGTAAACTTAAACTGTCTGTAGACCACTTGTGTATACCTCGCTTTGCCTCTATATAAATCAAACACATTAGTATTATTAGAGAATATTCAATGACGAATTGCTAAACTTATCGTCAAATAATGAGATGTAAACCAGTGATGTGGAATGTTAATGACTGCTTTTTGTGACCGTCGCTCCTAGTGTGTTGTAGTGGAGTCTGAATGACGCAGTTCCATCTTTTTTAATCTGATAAACGGTTTGGAAAATATACTTTTATGATGTTTTGTGTTTAAACGCCATAATTAAGATAAGATTGTGTTCTCAAGCTTAAGTGGAAGGTGATTATTAGTGTAACTTGTTGAGTGCGTTCTACTTTCTTTGGACACTAACAGATAAGTGATCACCCAGTGGCCAGACGTAAATATTAGTGGTGGTAACTGGCTGGCGCCTATGAGCGACACCCCAACAGAAGCAGCAACGACCAGTGTAGGTAGCATGAGACAAGCTACCAGCAACCATCGTCACCAGTAATAATCATTTCACAAAACTCTACGCTCACTGACGGATTTCATCTAGCTCTTCATTCCTGAAGAACAGGATGGGGCGACTGTGTCCCCTCCTTCTGTCCATAGCCCTTCTGGTAGTTGTACAGCTACTGACACCATCACATGCCATCCTGAAATCTTATTTCTACCGCTACGGCGAGGATGCTGGGGACACTCGTTTGCTAGCCGAGGATGACATCTCATCTCCAGAGATCAGCTTAAGGGCACCCGTCATATTCTTCGGTCAAATCTATCAGTCTATTTTTGTGAGTATATGTTCCAATTTGTGTTTAATATGCTGAAAGGTTAGAAGCCAACAGACTATCAAACGAAAAACACCATTAGCAAAGTCTTTTATTACACTATGTTTCACATTCAGTAGGTCTTTATCAAATCTTTAAGACTTGATAAAGCTCTCTTTAGAGCGAAACGTGTATAATAAAAGACTTGTTCTGCCGCATGTTTTGGCCTTGAATATTGTCTGTAGTCACGGTCGTAGTTGCATATATTAAATTTACTATATGCAATCCCAGAAAATTGGCTTCTTGGAAATTTAATTAAAAATTAAGACACACTCAGGAGCATAAATTTATAGTATTTATTACACGATGATAACTTGGGACGCTTTAAAATATTTTAACTTGGAGAATACAATCTGTGATGCTTAGAATTTTATAATAATTATATTAGCTTCTCCAATTATTCACCACAATAATACATTCCGGTTTACTTAGAAACAGGCACGTTTGTTGGACAGCGATATTAATTTTATGAGAAATCATAACAATAAAAGTACAGTGCTTTATATCCCAAATAGTTGCAATGCCACTGACCATATCCACTCCACCTTACCATTATATTTACAATATTATTATCATCAGTATCATTTCCTTTACAAATTACCACTATCTAAATGTAAAATATCGTATATATTTTTGTAATATACTTCCAACCTCAGTTACAGCGTCCTTATATGTCTGTAGTGTTATTACTATTATCTTGTAATCTGCTGCATTCTAAGATATAGTGCCAGAGGCTGTTTATCTTCCACTCTATGTACTTCATATTGTCTTTACTCCCTCGGTGTTGTTACACCAACCAGTCAAAGATACAGAAGGCCTACTCATCGATGTCTCTGCGTCTCTACGCATAGATGAAAGAAAACAAGAGAATACAGATCAGGTGGCAGAACTTGGGAAAGACTCAAACTCAGCAATTATAGGGAGTCAGAACACTGGCAGATACTATGCAAAGGTATGTGCCTATATGGCAGAGCTTGCTGCAGTAAACACAGCAGAAAATGTGCGAACATGTTGAGAAAGGAAAAGTGTCACTTTGACAAAGAGTGCAGCAAGTACTTCCACCCAGTGGCTGCAGGTACTTCCACACAGTTCAGAGAATGTTATAACCTGAACTACCTAGACCATCATGTAAAAGGAACGCGGCTCTACAGAGAAAGCAGAGAAAGGGAAATTGAACAACAGTCTATATTTAGGCATAAAGATAAACGATCGGACCAAAGAATGAAGCAAAAAGGTGAAATGCTACAGATGGGTAGCACAATGGGACATACCAAACCAGGCATTATCCCATCAGGGCCGAATACACAATCAAACGCAAAGTCAGTATTGGAAAAACCAGGGGTATGTACACCAGGGGCCGTACCAGGTATTACATCACCAGTGGTACTAACGAAACACAGCAAAACAAAGCATCTCAAATAGTAATTCCTGTTTCATATTTGCAAATATTCAGGATTTGAAATAAAGTAAAATCGACAAAGTTAGTTATGTCATTGGGCTCCTATCAGAAGCGAATGCCATGTTTGGTGCATTTTCAGAAGAGATAAAGATAGAAAACTAGAACATGTATAGATGTAATAGAATTAATAGGTCACAGGGAGGAATAGGACTCTATGTAAAAGATACTTTCTGTTGTACAGAAATGCTGAATTCTACGAATGACATAGTAGAAATTCTAGGCATTAAATTTGAAAATAGAAATTTGGTAATTATCCTACTATATAAACCACCATCAGCAACTGCTGAGGAATTCACAGATCGGTTAAGGAAAACAGATAGCTATCTGAATAAGCTAGAAAATCCCACACCAAATATTTTACTCCTTGGAGATTTTAATCTCCCTCTTGTAAAATAGAAGATGGCGCAACGCAGTGTTATAGCAGAAATATCTCCGGGAAGCACCCTGGCTCAACAGGTACATACCAGGGAACTAATGAGGCTTCGTGAAAAGTACTCATTGAACCAACAGATAATTGATCCCTTGAAATGATAATACTCTGGATTTGATATTCACAAACAACGAGGAAGTAATCAGACATAACAGTTACAAAAACAATATACTCTGATCACAACATTATAGAAGTTCAAACGAGTATTAACTCAGGGTTAGGGAACTGCGTCACTAATGTTAGAGACGTGATGTTCAGTAAGTTTAATATTAACAACCCCAGAATTGACTAGGAAATAATAAACCAAGAGCTATCAGACATATCCAGGGAAGCAGATACGAGCGCCCTAAATCCCCACCAGTGCCTAGAGAAGTTGAATACAGAAGCATACAAGGTATGTATGAAGCACGTACCATTGAGGAAACCCAGAAGATCAGATATAGAGACAGAGCATAGGAGATGGTACAGAAGAAGAAAAAAAGGTTGCTGAGTTGCTTGAAAAAGACAAATATGTCGCAACAGAGGAAAGACAGTCTTAGCCGAAAGATCACTGAATTAGAGCAAAAACTTAGGATGTCATACCTAACAGAAGAAGTATAAAGGGAACAACGGCCATACAGGATATTGCAAGAAATCCAAAATATTTATATTTCTACGCAGAATCCAAGCTAAGAACTACCTGTAGAACTGGACCATTATTGAGGGAGATTCGTATACTGACGATGAACAGGAAATAAGTGAAATCTTAAAAGAACAGTATGAGTCGGTGTTCAGCAACCCACTAAATGACAGCAAGGTAGAAAATGCAGAAATATTTTTCACTCCAGCAGAAGACCGCGCAGACCAGCTAGCTGATATTAGTACAAATCCCATAGATTTCGAGAAGGAAATGGATAACATGCTCACTCACTCAGCACCTGGACCAGATTCATGGAATGCCCTATTTATTAAGAAGTGCAAAGTACCACTATCACGAGCCCTCAGTATTCTTTGGAGAAAGAGTTTAGATCTAGGTAATCTAGAGTGCAGGCATAGCTCCTTTGCATAAGGGAGGTAGTAGAGCACTAGCTAAAAAATACAGACCAGTGGCCCTAACTTTTCACATCATTAAAATTTTCGAAAGAGTTATGAGATGGCAGATTACAAATTTCATGGACCAGCACAACCAGCATAACCCGAACCAGCATGGTTTTAGAGCAGGACGATCATGCCTGTCACAGCCACTGAACGATTATGAATATTAAAATGGTATAAAACACCGACAGGTTATTAGGTAAGCCACATGTGCAACACAGTAGGCTTCTACAGTTGAATACAGAAAAGTAGGTAGAAGCAACGTAATTTTGAGGTGGTCAGTCTCTCAGCCTGGAGAAGAGTATTTGTTTCTTAGTATGAAACAATGTAAAGTTGAAGTGACAGTATGGAGCCTTATATACTGTCAGGAAATGAGATGTAGGACAACTTTTCTGTACTCGACTGAAGAAGCCTACTGTGTAGGCGAAACGTTCCGAAATAAAGATACCTAACTGTTGCATATGCGTCATACCTGAACCATTATGACAGAATTACGGAGGGGTTGGAAGACGACTAAAACGCAGATGTGATTTACACAGATTTTGCGAAGGCGTTTGACAAAGCGAAATGAGGGCCATGGGCATTACTGGAAAGGTAGTCAGATGGATATTCGGGTTCCTAACACACAGAACACAAAAAAATAGTAGTAAACAGCAAGATCCAGCATCAGCGAGGTAAAATAATCAGTTCCCCAAGGTACTGTTCCCGCACCTCTGCTGTTTCTCATGCTCATTGCGTGTATAAAAAGACCCGCCGCATTTTTGTATCATCATTTGCAGACGACACTAAAATAAGCATGAAAGTCACTACGGTAGAGAACACTGAAAAATTACAGGAAGACATAAGCAGGGTTTTCCAGTGGGCAGTGGAGAACAGCATGACGTTCAATGGTGATAAGTTCCAGCTGCTTAGGTATGGAAAGAATGAAGAACTCAAAAGGAACACTGCATACAAAACTTAAGAGGGTCACCAAATAGAACGAAAGGAATACGTAAAATACCTTTCTTTTAAAGACCACAAGACAAATATCACGACAGCAAAGAGGATGAAGGGGTGGGTATAGAGAACTTTCAAAACAAGGGAAATAATGCCAATGGGGACACTCTTCAAATCGCTAGTGTTCCCTCATTTACTATATTGCTCAGTGCTGACAGTCCTGTTCAAAGTAGGAGAAATATCAGAGCTGGAACAAGTGCAGAGATCGTTTTCGGTTCACATTGAGCCAGTAAAGCTCCTAAATCACTGGGAACGCCTTCAAGTCTTGAACATGTACTCACTGGAGCGGAAGAGAGAGAGATACATGATAATATATACCTGGAAAGTACTCGAGGGCCTTGCCATAACAATATACTGGAGTGAGAGATATGTGAGGAAGTGCAAAATAAACCCAGTGAGGAGCAGGTACGGTGGTTAACATTTTACGAGAAGCTATCAGAAACACAAGTGTCGAAGCCTTCTTGAGGAAATTTGACATGTATCTTCACCAGGTGCCAGATCAACCAAGCTGTGATGAATATGTGGGGCAGCGGACCTCCAACAGCAACAACCTGGTTGACCAGGCAAGCACCAGACGAGCCTGGCCCATGGCCGAGCTCCTAGAGTGGTGAAACTCTCTAAAATCTTCAAAGGTATTTCAAAGGTCCTATCTACCAATAATCGCGTATATCTCTCGGTAAACTCATTCTCGAGATATTTGATTTATATTCTTGTCGTCAAATGCAGTGTTTCTCTTGACCTGTAGTTCTTGTTTATTCATTTCCTTCTTTGTTAACATGAGATGATAACAATTCAAACTTTGCTAGTATTTTGTTATTCTCTAATATTTTAGTATTATTTTATAGCTTTTCACAATTTTATTAATGACATTTTTGAAGTTAAGTCTGAATTAGACTGATATTGAGATGGAATGTACAAGTTGATTCTATTTATGTTACAGCCTCTGTGGCTAATTAAAGGCAATTAATTCAGTCTGGATTGATTATACACTGTCCTAAAGTCTTA